TCGTTCTTCGAGAATACCACAGCGCCACACCTCCTACACCACTGCTGCTGCTGCTGCTGCTGCTGCTCCTACTACTACTACTACTACTACTACTACTACTACTACTACTACTACTACAAATACTACGACAACAGCAACAACAACAACAACAACAACGAGCACGAGCACGAGCACGAGCACGAGCACGAGCACGAGCACTAGCACTGACGCTGCTGCTGCTGCTTCTACTACTACTACTACTACTACTACTGCTGCTCCTGCTTCTCCTGCTGCTCCTGCTGCTGCTGCTACTACGATAACTACGACGACGACGACGCCGACGACTACCACTACCACCACTACTACCACCACCACCACCACTATTTCTTGCCGGTACCACGACCACGACCACTACAGTACCAGTTTTTGCATCGAGAGTCACCTGACTACCACTATCACTATCTGGGCCCAGCTACCACTACCAGTACCAGTAACATCCTATACCACTACTACGACGACGACGACGACGCCGCCCGAAGCTTGTTGCTTGCCTGCGCCACCTGTGTCACAGCGACCTCTTGCACAAGCTTAACCTTGAAATGCATCGCAATGCGCGTTCGGACTCCCTGACAAAAGATGTTGATTGCGAAACCTAGAACGATACAAGCAGTTGTTGGTTGCCGAACTCCAAACCCAACCCCCAAAGGAAAATTTGCTTGCACCCGAAAAGCTGATGTTGGTTGCCAGACCCCCAAACCCTAATCGGAGCACCCTACAAGGAGATGTTGGTTGCCCAATCCCGGACAGTCAAAGGAGATGTTGGTTGAGAAACCCCTAAACCCTGAACTTCCTAAACCCGAAAAGCAGGTGTTGGTTGCGTTATTGCACTGACGGCAGTTGATGCCTGACTCATGTAATGCGTGAGTTTTGACTCTGGCCCACCCAGGCCTAAAGTACATTTCTGGCCGAGGTCATCACACCATGCTTTCGGCCAGAAGCGAGTAGAACCTTGGTAGGCGAAGCCGCGCAACCACGTGCTCGGAGCGCAAGGTTTCTACCGCGCAACATTTGCTCGCAACGCAGCCAAGACACTCAAACCAGCATCGGGGATGTAGAACGAATAACTTGGATAATAGTGCTGGCATTGGCTACAGTCCACGGATGCGGTGCATCAATGCAAGTGGCAACATGACGTGTGATATCCAAGAACCGAGGAGCCTTTGTCCTGGGAGGATCCTTACATATGCATCGCAAGCCATGCAGGGGAGTGCAAGGGAGGTCATGCGTCTGAATACGTCTGCTGAAGGAACGCTGCCGGTATGGTCAAGCGGCCTGACGTTGCGAGTTGCCGGAGGCGGAACATTTCCCGACGAAGCGATCCAAATTGGCAATGTAGAGCAGTTGTTCCACACCTCAAGCAGAGCAACTTCGTGTCTGCTGCGCAGACCTTTAAAGTAGGCATTGCATTCAAGCCAAGCATCAACCAGCCGAGGTTTCGCAACCTCAGCGCCAACCCTGTCAGGCTGCTTCTCACAAACAGTCGTTTCGCACTGAGGAAAGCACCGCTGCTGACAGAGCAGGCTGCTCTGGAGCGATTTGGGCCGGCTGCACCGGTGGCAACGGCGGGAGTGGCTGCAAGCTCAGAGGAGCTGGCGTGACTAACGGGAGGACCGCGAGCGGGATCGGCGTCACAGGAGGTGGCAAAGACAGCACGGACTCCCCAGGCTCAATCTCCTTCAGGTTCTTGCAGCCCTGCAGCCCAAAGCCTGTTGCATTTGGCTCTTGCAAACTTCGCCGCTCCCCGTCTGCGTTTAAACTTCGAACTTCATGGGCAGAGAATAGCACATAAACACGCTTCACGTAAACATGCTTCTTCCGACGGCTCCATGCTCCGGTGCGCTGTGCTATGCTATGCTATGCTATGCTATGCTACACTATGCCATGCTGCTGATCGCCCATGCAATTTCCCTTCACATCTCTTCCGTGAAGCTGTAGAACCTTCTTCTATCCGCGTCTTTACCGAATATCAATACGACTCTTCGAGGGGGGCAGGCGATCCCGAAGACCCGGCTGCACCTAGCAAGATAAGCATGGCCAGCAGCCCCGGGCGATGGCAGGCCATCTTACCTTGGCACAAGAAGGCGCATGCGACATATGTCACATATTGCCACATGCCACACATTTCAAGCCTCGACATGAAGACATCCCCACTCCACTGCCCCGCCCAACCCTGTGCGCTGCAGTGCACACTGAAAGAGACAGCTAAAGACAAAGAGAAAGAGAGAGCAGCGAGCAGAAACGAGCAAAGCAGAGGGAGCACCAGTCCGAGCTCCCAACCGAAGTGGCGCTCGTTGTGTGAATCATTTCGCATGGCACCGAAGGAACAGACAGGTCTACGGTCTACACTACATCCCGATCGGCTGCAAGCCTGTCCACAATGGAGTGCAAATGCAACAACCTCAAAACGCCGATGAACGGCTGAAAACGGGTGGAGGCTTAGAACGGCTTCAGCCATTGTTTTACCCGCGCCTGATTCAAGAATGCTTCGCTTCTTGGTGCCGTTCCGTCCAAGTCAGCGGGGCCTGCAAGTTGGGAGGAGGCCTCTACTACGACTACGAGTGAAACCGGTCATTCCCGGTGGCAAGGCTTCACCTCTGTCTATGCGCCAGCAGGATTGTCCTTGACTGGAGATGTCGTCCCTCACCTGGACATTGGCTCCTGATTTGATCCTGAGGCTGAGCCGTGCCACACAGTGCCCGACACTCCTGTCGTTTTCGGCTCTCTGAGACGGCGCCAGCTGTCGGCAATTTGGAACTTGCCATCCCTGAACCGTCTCCGTCTGCGTCATTGTCCGCGGCGACGCTGAATCAGCTTGGTGTGTGGATGTGTGGGTACCGATCACTGGTATGGCCAAGCAGGCGTTTGACATCCAAGCACAGTGTTGCCAGGTGCACACATGATCTGGTAGGCACGCTGGGCGCGCTCCATGGACAGCGCATCAAATCGGACAAGCGTTGGATCATGAAACTCTCCTACAATCGTGCGGGTGAGTCGAAATGGTCCCTTGGCTGTCTGCGATGTTATAAACGAAAACTCGCAACCTTCGCAGTCAAGCTTCATCAGCGCCAAATCGCGAATACCGAACGCTTGGAAAATGCTCTGCAACGACATGCAGGGTACGTTTGATCGCACCACCCTCCTGATAACTCCTCCCTGTACGGGTGGAAACAGCTCATAGGTTGCATTGCCAGATTCGCACGCTCCCACATTCACAGGCCACACTTGGTCAGTCACCTGAGGTGCGAAGCCTTAAAGCTAGAAGTCGCTAAACCTTAATTGACAGGAGAGCCATGGAGAATCCCAAAACGAAGGCTATACCAGGTGCCACCCTCAACCGAGCTGCATTGTTGCGGTGCAAGTTCCACAGCATAAAGCGGAAATTCGTTGGATCGAGCTCGATGGCAATGATGCGAATGCCAGGGTATAACTTGGCAAGCCAAATGGAAACCACACCCACATTGGCCCCAACATCCAGAACCACGTCACCATGGTGCAGTAGAAGCGTACTGAATCCATACGCGTCCTTCTGCAGTTCCTTCAGCTGGCTCTCCATGCCAAACCTGCCATACGTCAAAGCAGGCATGATGGATTCCCAGGCGGCACTCGAAGACCAATCGGTGGACTAGCGAACAACAAAAAGGAAGGCTAATGAAAACCAGGCACCGCGAGATCTTGAAGTCTCTGAATACAAGGGACATTGCACCCAAATTGAACTCCAAAACTTGAGTGCTTGCATGTATCCAAGACTCCCACGATACCTGCTGTGCAGAAAATGCCGGATGATCACCTCAGGCATGGGCAGCATGGGATGGATGATTGCACTCCTTGCCTCGTGCCAACACAACCTGGCTGAGCGGCCTTGGGCTTTCAAAGGCTCCCGTGGACTGTCCGCAAAAAGCATCGCATAACCTGCAGCTGCAACGGAGAATATACAACCGATAACGCATGACAACGATGCGACACGATGTGCTTGCAACATATGCGTACATATAGTTGTGTGTATCTGCACATGTACATCGCTATGCCATGAATGCCCTGCCTTGCCCACAACACTCGTGCTGGCTGTGCACGCCCGGGAAGCAACGCGAAGAATCAGGGTGCTCCCGCATGCAACATTCTTCTCGGGTAGTGGGCGGCCTCGTGTGGCACACAAATACACAAATGTAACAGATGTGCTTGCGGTCATTCTTCCTAATACCAATCCCACTGTTCCGCAAACTCCTGTTGGATGAGCGCAGACGGAACACAAACCCATGCCGAAGCAGGGTGCCCATTTGGCCACGGAATATACACCATCGACCTCCGACGATTTGACGATCTGAGCACTGCTGCGAAACGTCAACTTTCTACATCCGTGCTGCTATACCTTGCCTGAAAATGAATGAAATCGCTGGTCTGGCCACCAGCGATAAGTAAAAAAGTCATTGCCAGGCGCCATGCTTGCCATGGGCGAAACATGCCGAGACGGGAAATGCAACGTGTAACCAGTCAACGACTGATCATCATATCGAAAATTATGCGTGCAACGTCTGACACACACAAACATGGGAAGACATGGTTCCTTGTAATCCATCTTGATGCCGCATCCGGTGGCGACAACCCAAGTTGGCAAAACAATCTTTCTACGCCGGTATTTCGCCAGAACCATAGCATTCTGAGCAAATGACATCCGACAACGGCGCACGTAACTTTCCAAACCGGCCACCTGCTGAGCTCATACTTCAAAGCTCCACTGCGTTGACGCCCGCCCGACCGTCTGGAAGGTCAATGAGCGCTCGGTGGCCAGCCGCCGGACATATGGCACGACAAAATCAACACAACTTGGCCTTAAGTTTTCTTAAGTCAGATTTGCTGCTGGCCGCTTGCAGCTAACAGGCCAGGAATCTCGGTGGCCGACGTCGCCTAGCTGCATTTTATCAAGCACTTCTCGCGTCGCAACGCTTCGCACAGCACACTCCACCAGCGGCGCACCCTGTCGGCGCATGCGAAGCCCGAAACCCGGGCCGGAGCAGGCTGCAAATGAAGTCGTGTTAGCACATGGCCTGGCATTTGCGTGCAGCGACCCCATCCCGTGCATCGCCGTGTCAGGCCACATCGCCCAGCAGGACGAGACCCCAGTCGGCGGCTCCAAACGTTGCTCTCGCCAGGTCAGGCAAGCGCTCGAGGGCTGCCCACGCTGTGTCATGAGCGTCTGAAATCTGCAAGCGGGGCGTTGTAAGTAGATACGCGAACGAGTTACGAAGTTGCCCAGCCCACTCCGATGTCGTGACGACATACAAGCCGTCGAAGAGCGCAGGGAGCCGTTCACGAGCCCCAACAACGTGCTGGGTGGAGAGCGATTTTGTTATTTTTTGGCGCGAATGAGCGCTCGCATGCGAATGCAAGATGTCGCTGAGCTGCGCCTGAGCTGCGAGGTTCTGACCCAAGTCTCGGTGTGGCGCCGGCTTTCCGTACATTTGCGTGTACCTAATCTTTTTGCCGTCGCGTGAAAAAAGCAAAGAGATGGCTATCACCTGCAGCGATACAATCGCATGACGGCGGTGGCACGACAGCTGCTGCCTCTGCGAGGGAGTGCCTGCAGTGTGCGGTGCAACGCTTGCCTGGCACATGCCCCGACGCAAACGCTACCAAACGTACAGCACCCTGCGTTTGAGCGCGCCCACCGCTGCCGCTTGGTGGTCGTTGGCGTTGAAGTCGCGCATGGGGTTATCCAGCTTGTCCGAGGACAATGTGTCATTTAACTATTTAAACGATTGCGAAAGCACAGGAGGTCCCCGTCCAAACTGCATAACAACGCGCTACCCTCGAACGCAATCAGCCCCTTTTTAGGGAAACAGTCAGCGCGCCTCTGGGCTCGCGGGCACTAGCTCTCCAAAAGCACGAATCGGCCCGACTCCAGCGTTTGGTGGCGAGGGTGGCGCGCCGTCGCTGTGCCAGAGGAATCCAGAGGAAGGCCACTACTTTCCGGCCGCGACAGGAATGTTTTTTTTCCGCGCACCTTTTCGAGCAGCATCCGCGGTCCCAGCGCAAGAGAACTCATGCGCATCACGCACGCAAAGGCAACCTGGAGCGTTGCTCCGCCTCGGCGAGCTCCAGGACCCCCCCGAGCGGTGCGTGCTCGTCTCCGGTATAGGCTGCGCCGGCGCTCGCCAGCAGCCGCCCAACAGCGTCGAGGCCAAGGCGCGCTGCAACGCGCAGCCGAGCTGCCCCCACCACCG